CATTATGATTTTCGACCTCCCATTCTGGCTATCTCTGTTACATAAACTACGACTTAATAGCGGCCGCTCGTGTGCTTCTCAAAAAAAAAACGCTTCAAAAACAAGCAAAAAAAAAAGATTATATAAAAAAAGAAATTAATTACGTCAGTATCGTTTTGTTTATTCTCCTAATTTTTTTTTCTCTTACACTTTCTGTTAATTAATTACAATTTTTGTTTTTCGAAAACAATTAATGTTTATAATTCGAAACAAAAATGGGTATCTTTTGCTGAAAAAAAATCAAGACTTCCAGATTTGCGACTGTTCCGAAATTAAAAAAAAAACAATATGATAAAGAAGAAAAAAACACCTATCCTTTTATTCTTTCTCTACGTCTCTCTCTCTCTCTCTATTATCTAAATCTAATTCTGAATACTACAACCCAAGAATCCCGAGAATCCAAGAACTACCCGATGGGATATTTAGGCATTGTGTTTATGTTATGTGTACTATATACTTTGAGTGTGCTTCAATTATTATTTCCATTATTATTATTTTTTTATGAAAAATTTCTTTGCATGAGCTTTGAAATCTTCTCTATAATTTAATATATATTATACTGTGTGTGTAGCCGCTTCGTGCTTGCGCTTACGTAAAGATCAATATGATGTTTTATTATTTGGTTATCTTTTTTTTTTGTTAATATTGTTGATTTTTTTATATAAAAGAAGTAAAATGAATAGGACAACACGAGACACGAGGGAATTTACATCTTTGATTGTACTTTCACGACGTCGAAGAATACTAATCCACACTTGCAGCATATCTACACTATACATATTTAAAAAATGAAACACACAGAACGCACACGAATTACTCGAGAAGCCGACGACACGAGTTTTCTTTTCTTTTGTTTTTTCTATTTTGTTTTCTTTAGTAATAGCATTTAGGACTTGTTCGCAGGCGATATTTGCTAGTAGCATTCCAGAGATTATAGACCTTGTAGGAACTAGATCCAAGTACTGCGGCGAGTACAAGAGGGAGCACGGAAAGAGGTATTAATTTATTTAAAAAAAAATATAATAAATACTTTACGTGCAGACTACTACATGTGTTGTTTTCTTATTTTCAACGGATCCGAGAACGAGAAAAGAATATTTATTTATTATTTTTATAATCTCTAACGAATTATGGTCGTCGCTGCCAGAGATGCCACCGAGACTTGGCATATTGTGCAGGATCTATTCTCGGCACAACTTTTGTTCTTAACGCGATTGTTTTTTTTTATCTTTTTTTTTCCGAACCGTAATTCGTTGGATCCTGCAATTAAAAACAAAACAAAAACGACCTAATTTTCACATTTTTTATTTTTCTACAAACTTTTTGAGCCACAGCCGCCTGCGCACATACACACAAACCACAAAAACACCCTTTAGTTTATTTAATTCACGTTTTTTTTTTTATTATTGATTTTTTACAATCACCGCCTGCTCTAATCCAAAAGCGAAGATTAACTAGCACTAATTATAACATTAAAACATACACACACACACATCTAACGAACGTAGAAGACTTATTTTGATTTGATCTCACGTAGTTCTCTTTGAGTTTGTGCACTGAATCGACTAAAAACTTTATACAAAATATATAAGTTTTATTTTTTTTATTTCGAACACACGCGTGTGTTTTTGACCAAATAGCTTTAATTACTCCTCTTTTGTTTCTTTCTTTGTTTTTGTTTTATGGAACACCTTGTTTTTAGCACATTCGTCGATACATATGTCTTAATGATCCTGTTTTTGACTCCCAGACGTTTTGATTTACGTTTATTTTTTATTATGTTTTTTGTTATTGTAATTTCATTTTGTCGTCGATTACGATTTTTTCTCTTTCTCTTTCATTTCGGGGGTATTTCTCTGCGCCTTTTGGACACGTTCTTTGTACGGCCTGGGACGATATTCGTTGATCCTACGAATTTTGGCATCGAAACCTAATTAGAAATATCAACTATTTGAGTCTCGCCCAAACCACGAGCTCTCTCTCATCCAAGTTACTATTAAATTCAACACAAAAGAAACTTAATTCACACCTTAATTACAATATTTTATAAATTATCTTAAGCAATAAGAAATTAGAATTAAGAAATTTATATTGAAATATTAAAATTTTTCAAATCAAATTTCATAATCTTAATAGTGGAATTAATTAAATATGTTACCTCATCAATCTGCAGTAATTATGTTATTAGAGCAATATCGGATTATGAAATCTGATATGCGTAATCCGACTGTTGGGATCAAAACTTCGTAGTTGAATTATTATTGTAAGACCCGATTTGAATCTGGGCCAAATTTCCTAAGCTTCGACTCAAAGATTTAAATTTATTAAAAAATATTATGAAAAGTTAACATTTTGATGAGATTTGATTAAAATGTATTTAAGTAAAGAAATAAATTGTATGTTGAAGATGGATTTGTAAATGGATGGGATTTGTATCTTGGATATTGATTGAAGTGACAAATTGCAGTAGCCAATTGTATGGGTAAACTCGTTTTGGAAACTCGAATTGCATGCTGATGAAGAGCGCTCAAGATAACGGTCGCAGGATTCGTTACTTATTCATTGAATTAGTGTCGTCGTGCAACAAGTACGAAAAGAAAATCGGAGCATTCGGGGAAAATTAACGTTGAAGACACACAAATTCAGAAAAACAAAAACAAATACGAATTAAGTTAAATCAAACTGCGAACTAAAGTCATCTAACTGTCTGTGTAAAAAAGAAAAAAAACAATTCCGAAGCAATAATATATTATAATGTCTAGTCTAGTTGCTATTGGAAACCGTTGGAGGCAATTCCGACGATTGCCAGGAAATTGTTTTGAAAATGGGAAATGGAACGCATTTAATAT